GTTGGTTGGTTGGTTGGTTGGTTGGTTGGTTGGTTGGCTGGTTGGTTGGTTGGTTGGTTGGCTGGTTGGTTGGTTGGTTGGTTGGTTGGTTGGTTGGTAGGCTGGTTGGTTGGTTGGCTGGTTGGTTGGTTGGTTGGTTGGCTGGTTGGTTGGTTGGTTGGTTGGCTGGTTGGCTGGTTGGTTGGTTGGTTGGTTGGTTGGTTGGCTGGTTGGTTGGTTGGTTTGAAGCAAAAATATTTTAAATCTGGCGCGCTTATTTCTCATGTGGCTATGGATGCGCTGAACATTGCTGATGTCGAAACATACCTATTACTTACATACAATCGTCTGTATTTACATATGTGTGTGTCTGTCTGTGTGTATTTGTGTGTGTGTTTGTTTGTGCTTGTATGTATGTTTGTGGGTGTATTTATGTCTCTGCGCGTGTTTATGTTCGATTATTCATGTGTATGTTTATGTAGGTGTGTGTATAGTTGTGTGAATGTGTATGCGTGTGTGTATGAATGTACATGTATATGTTTTTTCCGTACGTTTTTATTTACGTCTGTGTAAAAATAAAATGCGATACGTGTGTATAATTTGAAGCTGCTTATCAATGTGTGTTTGAATTAACGAATGCAAGTGTTCGAATGTATGTACGTGTGTGAGTGTGTGTACGTGTGTGAGTGTGGGTACGTGTGTTGGGAGCATATTTTCGCACATCCCTATAAATGAAACGACTATCCGGTTAATAGGCGGTCCATCGGATTGGTTGGGATGGTTTGAAATTTGAATTCTGCTTGCCAGCGTGCGCCAGTAAACGGTTATTCGAAGCAATGCAGATCGTTCTTGCACCGACACGTGTTTCAACATGTTTGTATTGTATGTTTGTGTGTATGTATGTTGTATGTGTGTGTGTATGTATGTATGTGTGTGTGTTTGCATGTATGTTTGTATATTTATGAAACTATCAAAACATTACCATTCGTAATTATTTATTCCTATGATAGCTCACCAACTGTGTTTGCTTGCTTGTATTTATGAATGAACGTTTGATTTTTTGTATTGAAAGTAATATATATATATAGGCGTATAATTATTTTATTTGTTTGTTTCATTCAATTCATTTATCTATTCTAACTTTTAAAAGTAAATTTTAAATCTTTAATCACCAACAACATCATCGTCATCATCGTCATCAATATTTATCCTCAATCTCATCTTCTTCCTCATCTTCTTCCTCATCTTCATCTTCAGGTTAGCGCTGAGCGGGCGATTTGAATTCAGCATGCTATTCGCAACATACATACACGTGCGATCTACACTCGCGTATGTAGCTATGTATGTATCTCTATGTATGTATCTCTATGTATGTATCTGTATTTGTTTGTTTGTCTGTTTGTATGTGTGTGTGTATGTGTGAGTGTGTGTGTGTGTATATATGTTTTGTATCTATGTATGTGTGTTCTAATAATCAAGTTTACCTGTTTATTTGTTTATAAGAAATAAAAGATTACGCTCGCAGATTGTAAGCCAGTTAATTGAATTAAATATAACTTGCATCATCATCACATACACATCATCCTCGTCGTCGTCGTCATTAGCGTCAGTAGCAGCAGCAGCAGCATATAATCTTCATCTTCTTCATTACCTTCATCATCGTCATTATTATTATTATTATTATTATTTGAATCTGCAAACATATGTTGCGATCTTACGTATATGCAAATAATTACACACACACATACACACAACACACACGTACACACATACAAACTCAAACAAACATCCAGATAAAAACAATTTGTTTTAATTGTCATGTACACATTAATTGATGTGTATGTGTATCATTACTACATTTTGGCTATCAAATTGATGAATAATAAAGCCATACTAATACTACTACTACTTCCACAACAACAACAACAACTACTACTACTACTATTACTACTAATGATAAAAACAATAATGATAATAATGGAAATAAGAAGAAAAATAAGAAACAAAGAATACTTCCAAATAATAATAATAATTTATTCTCTTGTCATTAATAATATGGTGAAGGCAAGCCAGAACTAATTTAGTCATGTGTTATATTTGACGTAAGCATTTGATTCGAATCTCATTCAAGTCAAAGTCATGACGAAAATAGTCCGGGCTTGCCTTTATCATAATAACAATAAGAAATGAAAACTATTTTTGTCATGAGTTTGACTTGAATGAGATTTGACTAAAATGCTTACGTCGTCATATTGTTGTTCTACAGTCGCTTACCTATACTTTAATTTACATGACTGCACTTATTCATCGTCCATTCAAACACTCATTCATTCATTCGTTTTTTGTTCAAGTAGCGTAGACGCTAATGCATGTATTCAAATATGTTGGAGTGGGTCAATGAATAAATGGAAGAATGAGTGAATTAGTGAATGAATGAATGAATAAGTGAATGAATGAATTAGTGAATGAATGGATGAAAAAACGAATAAATAAGTGAATGAAAATATTTGATTGCTTGTCTAACCGCTTTCATTTGTTTCATGATGCTTACATAAATACATAGACTAGACAAGACACATTCTTAAAACAACCCAAGTAAAAATCATTATATTATTTCGTGAAAGAAATGTAGTGGAATGAAGGAATGAAAAGACGAATGAATGACTGATTGAATAGCTAAATTTTTATGTATGCATATAAACTACGATAGATCTTCTTAATCATTCAAGAATGTACACAAGTTTGACGATAACGAATAAACGCCATTTTTATATTTAATTTTATTAAATATTCCTTATTATTCAACAAAGTAAGTATTACAATAGAAGAGAAAGAGAGAGAGAGAGAGAAATAATAACAAAAAATAATGATAGTAATAAAAGCATCCAAATATATACATATAAATGCGAAAGTGTATGTACTTAAACATTCATTGATGTGACATAGTAGGAAGAAAATTCTACATTAGTTATATAAATAATAAAAATTTATAATAACATTAATATTAAAAATAGGGATAATAATAATGATTAATAATTATAAATCTAATTAGGCAACCAGTTATTATGTCAAACAGTCAGTCATTAATAATTAAGTTAACTAATTAATGAATTATACAAATTATTTGTATATTTATTCTTCCATGCATTTATTTCGAGTGTATCAGTTCTTTGGAGGCCATGTGTCTCATCAGCTGACTGGTGAACTTTTCAATTTTCTTCACATCCTGTGCATGCTCTGATCTGTACTGTATGCACTGGAATGATGAATTAGTGAAATTAGTGATTAAAAATATATATAATAAAAACCCTAATCACTAATCATTTTAAATAGAATACTAACCACTTTATCATTTGTCATCTTTAGTACTACCATGCCCTTGACATGATTGTACTTTATAACATACCTACACTGGAAATATAGGAAAATGTTTGATTTAATTAATTTATAAACTTTAAATTGATATAATAAACGAACTTTGCTGTGTCTGTTATTACTTAATTTCATTTTTAATAAAGCTTAATAAATAATCATGAATTCAATTGCCCACTTATTAAAATAAAACATAGCTAGTAAGTAGTAATATTAAGGAATTAAGCTAACATGATAGCATCAAACAATTGTATTCTAACCAGAATAAGAACACTAATTATAAATTTTAAAATTAATAATTAAAACAACTTGGTTAAATTTACATCAAATGTCACCAGGCAAAACAAGTGAGTGTCAGCCTAACATACTTTCATAGGGTCGTCCGTGTAAAGCCTTTCAGCCGCTTTAGAAAATTCTTCCCACGATCTCAAATAAGTCATTATTTGCACAAATTCTTAAATTGAAAATTTTAAATGATTTACTTTGAGTAATTATGATCTAAACATCAATTTGTCGTATTTCGCCATATATCGCTAACACGTAATTATATTAGCACCATGTGTTTATTCGATATTTTTAAAAATTTTACAAAACAATTATTCAATAATTAATTAGACAAAATTAACAATTAAATAAATGTTTATATATAATTTATTAAAAATATTTGAACAAATTTTTTTTAATCAACAAAATAATTAAGATTTTTAAAAATTTAATTTGCTTTTAAACGTTTTATCTCACCAATATGAAGCTAATTTGAATTTTTAATTATGTTTTGTTTTTATTATAGATTAAATCTTAAATGACACTTTTTCTAGATTAAATTAATATAAAAATTTTTCAACCGTTTTTAATTGTTTGAATAACAAAATATTAATTATAATTAGTTGTTCAGGGTGTCAAATGATGCCACCTCGACGTCAAGACGTTAGATTCAGATTTGCATTTGATTGATTGCTATTGCAATTTTTGCTGAAGTAAATAACCTCAAATACTTTCATTTCTGAAACCAGCCCTAATAATAGTAACAGAATCCACAGACCTAAAATTAGTGCAGTCGACATACCATGCATCTAGACACCATTAACGACAACTTCAACTAATTCTGAAGAGAAGAACAACAACTTTAGTTTAATATTAATTAATTCAATCAACTGAGTATGAAAGTGATGTGATGGCTAATTTTGACAGCATTAATTTAGATTTCCCCATTTTGACAGATGACTACTTGCAAGAACAGTTTGACAAAATTGATTTTGAAAGTTTCTTTAATTGTCTTCAGTTGAAAAGTAAACTTAACTCTAATGATCAATATCAATCTAATAATGTCAATGCCAATAACAGCCCCAGAGATATTGATTCTAGCACCTTAGATAATGTAAATAATGAAAACAATTATGAATTTAATAGCACAGATACACCTAACCCTAACAAATATGAAATGTCGTTATCCAGTACGGCTTTTAAAGAAAATTATCTGAAAAATATGTTTCGAATAAGGAATGACGATGATTCAGATAACGATCTGGACCCCACAACGACAACAAAGACAAACAATAAAAATTTTAATAATAATTATAATAAAAATAATATTAATTCACCTAACAAAATGATTACTAGGTCTTCCTCTGGTATTAAGATTGCTAATAGGAAGTATAATAATTATGGTAATACTAATAATAATACTAATAATAATGGTAATAATGATGATAACAATAGTATTAGTAATGCTACTGCTACTAGAACTACAGCAAATACTACTACTGCCAATGTTTCTACTACTTTTAGTAGTAAGTATACTGAAATTATGAATAATTATAGTAATAATAATAATTATAATATTAATAATAATAATAATGTTAATTATGTTGTTGCGAGTGCAGATGTGGAAGATAAAACCATTTGTGATGGTAATAATAATGACCGTGCCAATTATGGTGAATTAATCTTGAGTAATAATGTTGATAATATTAATAATGATTTTATTAATAATAACGTTCATAATATCAGCGAGGTTTTAAATTTCGATTTCGAAAACTCTCGATGCGACATTTGCAGCAGATCCTTCTGCTCCAAGTACAGCCTTGCCAGCCATCTCAATAGCTCACTCCACAAAAAGAGACTTGGGTTTTTAAAAAATTATGATATCAATAATAAAAATAACAACAACAATAATAATAATAATAATAATAATGATGATGATCATGACGATAGTGATAAACTTAATGATGTTAATGACAGTAGTGATAGAATATTGTTGCTAATCGATAGATTCAAAGCCTATCAGTGTAGAGTCTGCAATTTTTACTCAGATGATTATGAAGAATTCTCTGAACACGTTAACCGTAATCAGAAACATTTGACAAAGGTCAAAGAAACTTATTATTATTATTTATTATTGAGTTTATAAAGATGGTGATGTTATTAATATTTTAATCTTTTTTCTTTTTTTGTCTAGGTAGAGACAAAGTTGGTTGGACCCCTTCGATGCGTTAGATGCCAATTCAACTGCCGTTCAAACAGTGAGATGTTAGGACATTTTGAAGAGGACATTCATAAAAATAGGATCCTCGACTTGCCGGCTGGAAAGCCCAAATGCATTATCAAAGAGCGTAGATATTTACTCCAGTGTAGGAGTTGCTCTGCTACATTGCATTCAACTTTGCAACTGGCTAGACATTTGAAGTCGAGATGTTGGTCAGGATGTAGTAATAAAAATGAAAACATGACATATTCTTCCGTTATTTATGATAATAATAATAATAACGACAACAACAATAATAATAATTATAAAGATAACGATGATGAAGATGGCGATAAGGCGGAAAAATGCGACGATGATGATAAGGATGATAGAAATTATCATTCTAACAACTGCTCTAATTGTGAATTAGATGATTGTGTTGCTGACGACGATCGCGATGATGTTAAAATACGTAATGATAATGATGTTAATGATGATGATAACGATGATGGAAACCCAGTGATAAAACGTGAAAGGGGTGGATTGTGTAAAAGTGAATCTAGTAAGAAATGGAAAAGCAGAACTAAAGCTTCAAAAAGGAAAAGAATTCATACTGTTCTAACAGATGCTTGTGATGAGGAGGAGGAGGAAGAAGAAGAAGAAAATGATGATAATTACGGTAATGATGTTAAAGATTATATCAAACATGACTACGACGATGATGAAGCTAAAGATGAAAATAATAATGAAACAGCTGATAGCAGCTACAGCTTGGATCCAGGCTCGGATTTCGCGATGAAAGCCAACGAAAGTGGTTCTAATGAAGGTGAATGTGATGATGTTGATTGCAATAATGATGCTACTGGTAACCGAAATGATGGTGATCACATGAACGGTGATAAAAATGATGATAGGTACGATGTTGATTGCCATGTAAGAATAAGAAGTAACGGTAAAGATTTGAAATGCAATAAAACTCGAAAATCTAAGAGAAATAACGTTAAATTTGAGAGTTTAAACTCGAAACGTTCTAAACAAGTTGTAAGCTTGAGTGGAAAAATAAAAGTTGCGAAACGTGAAAAATTCCTGGATCCTAGTGCAGTCTCAGGACGTCTTACTCGTCGTCATAAATGTAAATTCTGCAGTAAGGTATACAGTTGCAGGTCTGTGCTGAAGAGACATATCAAGGATGTCCATCTCCATTCCATCCCGCTGATAAGGTACTGTTCATCGTGCTGTTCATTGTTAAATAATTTCAAATTCAAGATCAATAAATGAATTAATTAATTTAAAATTTGACCTTCCATAGTTGTCCCGTGTGCGACAAGAAATTCAAACGAAAACTCCTTATGAACCACGCCCTTCGGGAGCATGGGTTGGAAACTTCGAGGCTGCACGGTTTGGAGATACCGCAGCATAAATGCGTCAGTTGCGATCGTAACTTCCTGGATCTCAGTCAGTTGGCGGCCCACATGAAACTGCACGACAAACAGTTACGATGTCCGCACGAGGGGTGTACGAATTTATTTCGCTATCATTCTGAAATGAAGGTTCATTTGATCACCCACAGTACCGAACGTCGATTCCTATGCGACGAGTGTGGTTACGGTGGCAAAACTCGCAACCAGCTGCTGCGACACCAGCGTTTGCACAGCGGAGAGAAGCGTTACAAATGCGATAAATGTCAGTACACAACAACTCTAGCTGCCAACCTGAGAAGACACGAACGAGTCCACAGCGGCGTCAAACCCTACAAGTGTCTGTACTGCGATTATGCATGCAACACGCAGGAAAATTTAAGGAAACACGTCCTGAAGACGAAACGTCACGTTGGTAAATCCGTCTACCCTTGTAATTTGTGCGACTTCTCATCCAATTCAGCCTCTGATTTTCAACGACATATCGATGTGTCTCATGCGGGCGATCGTCAACTCTTACCTTCCGTCATTGTCGGCATGTACGAACCAGATGAGAAAACGGATCGAAATTCAGTTGTTAAGCGAAATTTTAATGCCAAAATTGCAAAGTCGAATGAATTTTCCAATGTTACAGCCATGACAACTCCCGATGTTAACACTAGCAAAGTTCCCATTTGTAAAGTCAATAAAAAAATTACTAATTCTAATATCTATAACAGTAATGAAACCTACTCTATTATTGATTTGGTATCAAAAAGTATAAATACCATTACAGAGTCACTTTCTTCTACTGCGTCACTGAACGCTGCAAACAACCCACTGACTGCACCTAACAGCACAACTTCTATTATTATTAACACTAACTTGGCAGCCTCTAATTTTCTTAATGGAGGTAATAAATCTAATTTTTTCTCCCCAGTTAAGACAAGCCATCAGGAATGTGATGCTACGTTAGATAGTTTGTTAAATAGTTTCTATGCAAACGATCCCTTTCCTGCTACCGATATCCTGAATCGGTTTATTACGGATAATCAATCGCTTGTCAGTTGTTCTAGTGCTGAAGGTAGTGGTAGCAACAGTAGTTGTACCAGTAACAACAGTAGTTGTACCAGTAGCAACAGCAGTTGTACTGCCACTGCTAATCGTTCTATCCGTAAAGTCTACAATAATAATTTGAAAAGAAATGTTGTAAACATTCTCCGCGATAACAATGCCAAAATGAGAAAAAATACTAACGCTAATTGCAAAGCAAATCACACTACGAAGCACAGAAATAACGATGACGTCTTCAGACGAATGATCGTTGCCAACATCTTGGACGATAACGCGCCACACACCGCCATCAGCACACCCAGTGTCGACAACACGGTCATCGTTGGCAACATGTTGTTAAACTCAAACAACAACACAACCAGCTTCGGCAACATTCTGAAAAACAACGAATCAACACAACTCAACACAATTCCATTCCTACCTAATAATGGTACTAACACCCAACCTAGTCTGATCATATTGGCTCCTGATGTCATGTTACTGCAACAACATTTTATAAACCCACAGCTAGTCATTTTACCGCAACAGGCTTTAAGTGGGCTAATGCATCTGAACAGCAGCAACGATGAAAGCCACAGTAGCAGTAACGAAATCAACAGTATGACAATGAGCAGCAGCGGAAGCAATAACTAGAGTACTAACTAACAATACTATACAGGTGCAGGCGGCATTACAACATGCAAAGCAAAACTTTCAACATTGGTAAATAACCTCTTCGGAAATAAGACAACAGCCAACGTCCGTACAACCGGTAACTTTGAAAATGTATACAAGACATAAAATCTGGTTGCTTTTTAACAGAGGATACTCGACAGCCGCTTTTAAATTTCATAATTTTTGAGTTCGTAGACAATTTTTTTATATATCATTTTGGGGACAAAATGTTACTCCTTGATTGCTTATACATATTCATTTGAACAATTATACATACTTGTTATTTTTGAAACAATTATCAAAAATTATTATCAAAATTTTCTATTAGTAACAAAAAGCAATTCAATACCTTCGTTGAATAGTAGAGATGTTTGGACGAGTGTAAAACTTATTGTAAAGCATTGATTATTATAGCACAATCCCACACAACACACGAAGCATTTGCATGTACGTAAAAAGCACAACGCAATATTATAGCGCGTCATCAAATGTGTATATGCATGAGCGAACGGCAAATAGTCTTAAATACAAAAAAAAATTAAGATCATCTAAATTTTTTACAAAATTTCTTCAACATAAAAAAGAATGATTGTGTAGAACCAATTCAATTAGGCAATGAATACTAAACCAGGATGTAGAATGCAATCAAAAACTAGATGAAAATATTTAATTACCAATAAATTAAAAGCTAAATATTATGACTATTCAAATCTTGCAAGAAATGACGGAAAATTTGAATTCAAATTCTCCAGTTTTGGGCTGAAAAACGGTCTTGAACTTTAACCTGAACTTACCATCATCTACGACCTGAGGTATTTTGAAGAAATGAACCCCCTGTCTAGAATATGGGTCCCAATTTAGGGTCTGCCCAGGTTGTGGGGGTGAGAGAAGCCCCCCGATTAAGACGTTGTCATTAGCGAAGTCGGTTTCGTCGGTTTGATCATTTAAGGCAGTGTTAATACTATCTGATATGGCAGTATCGATATTAATGTCCGTAGCTGTGTTAGCATTACCGCTAATAGTGTCGCGACTACTGAAAAGATTGGCATCAGTAGCAGTAGTAGTAGTAAAAGTGGTCGCGTTTCTGTATGCAGAATCGTTTAGTAGGTTGTAGTCACACCATACTGCAATTCCACTGCAAGTACCAGAACTGTGTTAAATTGTTTGCTGTTTACTATTGTAATCATTCCTTATTGGTATTCATTTTCTTATCAGATTTCAAAGTTTCATTTTCTCATCAAAATTTAATGCATTCAAGTAGTCAAACAGACAAACCAATCATTAATTAATTCAATCAGTCAATCAAACGGACCAGCCAATGAGATGATAACCAACCTGATGAACTCAACCAATCCCTCTCTTTCCAACTGCCTAACACCTCCCACAATGCAGGCATTTGGATCAAAATTAAAAAACAAAAGTTCAAAATCTTCGGTCATTGGTATGGCTGGGTATTCCCAAAGTGGGTGAGGCTCTAAGTAGGCATCTGATTGGTCAGATGAATAACTCATCAGCTGGTCGAAAGGTCGAAGGTCAAAGCCTTCACATATATTAACTGGACTTCCTCTTAGCTGCAAGCAAAAAATAAATAAATAAAAATTATATATTTTCATGTCGCAAAGATCTATTTGCATGAAGTACATATTCTTTATTAAAGATTTAAAAATTTTCCTGATGACTTTAATAACATGTACTGTTTAAGATTCATTTCATTCAAACTATGAACAGCTAAAAGTTTAGTAAAGACCTTATGTAGGTTCTCAAACTGCACTGCAATAGCCCTAATAGACGCAGAACAAGGGAAAATAACCAATCCATCACCTCTTGATAATAACGATGGTGCTTTCAAATTCAAATTGTCACCCGACAAATCTTTAGTTTGATCAGCAAAAAATATCGGAGAACCATCGATATTATTGTCTGTGACATCAGAGTGAACGGACTTTTTCTTCTTCGCCTTCTTTGGTTTTGAAAAATAATTTATCAGTTCAGTTTTGGCGTAGAGGAAATGGAGGTTATGCCATGGCAGTAAGGATGTGCTGTAATACGGGTCCCCCATTATTATATTAACCTGAAATCAGGAAAAAAAAAAATTATTTTTATAATTGAAGTTTTCTAAAAATGCATCCTCATAAAAAAACGATAAAACAAAAATCATCACAGATTACTTATAACTAATCACAGATGTTTAAGATCTGAACTGACATTTTCCTTTTTCAACTGCTCATCTTCCAGACTGGAGACGACCTTGACACAGTTTTGAAGATCATTGGCCTCTACATACGATTGGAGGAACTGGCGTGAAAGTTGGTTGGGTTGTAGAGAAATGACCTGGAAAAAAATCGGTCAAGAAATCATCAACATTATAACTAAAACATCAGCTACACTAATTATTTATTATTTAAACAATTATGCTACAAAAATAATATTTATAATAAAAATAATTATATTTGTAATGATAAAAATGTATAAGCTGTATTCGTATGGTGTCCGAGGATTGAGTTATGATTGGTTTCATTCATATTTAATTGATCGTTTCCAGTATGTCTGTATCAATGGTTCTAAATCTTTACTGTCTCCTATTAAATTGGGGGTTCCCCAAGGTTCTATCTTGGGTCCATTGCTTTTTAATGTCTATATTAATGATTTTATTAATTCTTCCAATTTATTAAAATTTGTTCTGTTTGCTGATGATACAACCTTACTTTATTCCCATTCTGATCTTAATGAACTTGTCGCTATTATTAATGATGAATTAAAATTTGTTTATGACTGGGTTGTTTCTAATAATTTACGTATTAATTTAGACAAAACATGTTTTATTTTATTCGGACCTAAGATCAGGACCGATATTGTATCACCGATTATATATTTAAACAATTCTATGATTAAAAGAGTTGATTCTACCAAGTTTTTAGGTATTGTTATTTCTTCTAACTTGTGTTGGTTATCTCATATCAAATATATATCTGGCAAATTATCCAAAAATTTGGGTCTTATATATAGGTTAAGGTTTAAATTTCCTAAATCTATTTTATCAACCCTTTATAACTCCTTAAATTTACCATATTTGACTTATTGTATTTCCATTTGGGGTTGGGCTTCTAAATCTAGTCTTCATGTTCTAACTATAGCTCAAAATTTTTTTATTCGTATATTGTTTAAATTGAATCGCTTTCATCATGTTAGTGCAAATAATTATAAAATAGCTAACATTCTAAATATAAATCAGTTACATATTTTGCATTTATTACTTCTATTTTTTAAAATGTTTAAATTAAATTATTGTCAATTTCTTTATGATCAATTAGCATTGTATAAGAATACTAGACAAATTTCGTTGCGTTTTGATCCTGATTTTTATTTTCCCAAATGTAGGTCTAACTTCTTTCTTAATTCTGCCTTGTCTATTTCTATGCGTCTTTGGAACATGCTGCCTGTTGATGCAAGGGAATGTTCTTCTCTGGGTCCTTTTCGATCATCAATTAATCAACTAATTTTGCTTAATCATTTCACTTATATTAAACAAATATTAAATAAATTATATATATATATATCATCATTTCTCTAAATCATCTTTTCTTTATTGATTTTTTGTCTTTTTTGTTTTACGAAAAAATATTTTTTTTGGACATTATGAACAAATTTTGTTTTATTAATTAGTTAAATTAACAATTGAATAGAATAATTTCTGTTAGTTAAGTTGCCGCACAAGCCCTTTGGGCTTCTGGTTTTACTTTAAATAAATAAATAAATAAATAAATAAATAAAATAAAAATACCTTTTTAGCTCCTAATTTAGCAGCAATGAGAGGTAGCAGAGAGTCGTCACTGGTACAGAAGCAGACACTGTCTTCATTAATCACCTAGAGTGAGTGGATGAAATTAATTATAATTCTTTATTGTACCCATGTTTAATCACTGATTGCTATTAAAATAATATCATAATAACATATTTTCAAGACGCTTTAATATATTTTTTAAATCCTATTGATATAATTTAGCTGAGAAAACATAGTCAAGATTATAATTATTCATAATGGTAAAAAATATAACAATTAATCATAATTTTTAAAGCACAATTAGCGCGATTACAATAGCGACAGCACTTTTTTAAGAGCTCTAATGTATTTCCTGTTCCTTTCTACGTCGTTGAGCATTGCAACTCGAGTTCTACTGCAAGCAATGTGGGCAGAACACGTGCACCCCGGGCCTCTATTATCGCTACTACCCGTGGACTGGTCATGGTCGACCAACATTTTTGAAGTTGATGATGATGAAATGACGTCTGGATGGCTGTATTTTAGATGTGGAATGATGTCTGAGTCGAAGATTTTGAGATCGTATAACGTAATGTTACAAATAGGCAAGATGGTTTAAACAGCAAAGAGACATGTACATCCAATGCACCTGAGGTCAAACCACAGGCTATATTCATCATGATGGCAGTTGACCTTGAACTCTTGACCTCGTACGACCTTTTGAACTTTTGATGGGTAGTAGACAGCCTGCATCCAATGGTCTCTCCACTAAAGCATAGGCAATTTGAAATTTTGAAGTTCACATAAGGTGTTTAACTAAATTTTTTTATTAGTATTTTACATTTTTTTCAAATTTTTAATTAGTATCTTCAATATAATCATTGTTTTCATATAATAATTATTAATTACGATCTACACCACCATCATCATTGCAGAAATATTGAAAACCCTATCACGACCTGCATATCATTGGGGGTTGGATGTCCCCAGCGTGGGGCGGTGCTTAAGATGACCTCCCCATTCATATCCATCTTAAGCTGCCACCACATGAAAATACAGTCAATCACACCATCGTTTACTGCCTGGAAGTTGACTGATTCATGCTCAATGAACTTGAGAGGACCTCCGGATGTTTCGGTGAAATCAAAGCTGAAAACAATTTTAGGATCACCAATAGGAAGAAAATGATCATGGGCCAGCCTGTTCAGTTGGACATCGTGAACAGATGGAGCACCAGTACAGCATTTAACTTTTTTAGGTGGAGATATAAACTTGCACCTACTGCTACTTTGATTGCTACTACTACATTTATCTGTTGTAGAAGCTTCAGCAGTAGTATCTGATGATGATGATGTATTATTATTAGCCCTGTTATGTTCATAATTTTTGTCATCGTGAATTTTTATCTCTTTGAACTCATGCCACCCCCTAAAAAAAGGGCAAGACACAGGCTGGCAGATGATGTGGGCGGCAGAGGGCACAACAATTCTGTCGTTTTGGTCCAGTAACTCAGAGCAAGCATGATGGAAAGTTCCCAGGGCACCTTCTCCAATTAATTCTGTGTCAAATACTTCGGCTACAAGAATGTTGGCTCGGCCACCCAAGTCCAATTCTATCAAAAAGTTGTTCAGTGGGTAAGATTTGTTAGGTAGGTTTTTTGATTATGGTATACAATCATAGTTAAATGAATAATAAAATAAACTAAAATAGAAAATATTTATTAAAAATTAAAAAGCTACAAGTGTAAGTTAACTATTAGTATTAAAATACTTATACATAATCAAAACCTCACCATTCATTTCAGTGGATCTTTTCTTTATGATCGTTATTTTGTCAGCCATGTTGTTAGCTTCAATAACTTTTAAGGCACATTCCGCTATGGGTTTGAATGCCTGTTTCATTACAGTTTATGATAAATTATTATTTCACAGATATTCTAATGCTTCCAATCAATTATGCATTCATTCATCCATTTATTTATTCATTCAATGACCCACCCGCCTACCTCACAGGCAACAACTTTATCAGCCCCGGCCCTAACAGCTATCATGGACAAGAGGCCTGTACCGGTTCCAATGTCAAGGACAAATGCCTGTTTACCTTTTTCATGCATCCACTTGATGGCATGTTTCAGGCCAACTTCATATAATTTATTCTGAAAGTTATTTTAAAATAATTTGTCTCATTATTTTTAAATACTTTCATTTTTTTTACAATGTTTAACATTTAACTGAATTAAAACAATATAAGATATATTCTTATCTAAACTTCAACAAATGCAATTTAATTAATTAAATAACAATGAATTAAAAAATTGATTATTTAATAATAAAAATGAACAATTAATAAGTATAATAATTATTTATTATTATTATTGAATAGAAGTTTAAAAAATCAAATTACCCTTTCAGTATCATGTAACATATCTCCATAAGCTGACCTTATTGTTTGAACAATAAATTAGGTTCATAATTAGGATTAAAACATTAGTGGTAAATTAGCTAAAAAAAGTAAAAGTAAAACTAAACTAAAAGTAAAACTATCAAAAAAAATTCTTACCTCGCCACTTCTTGGTGGTAATCATAATCGTCACTTTGCATGACCCATTCTAAACGGCCAGTAACCGGACTGATTCTCGAAACGAAGGTACTCATTTGACGTTCAATTGCTCCGAACTTTAATTTGCCGAACTTCAACAATATTAGGGAGGCGAAAATCATCTATTATCACTCACACTCACTCGAGGATAACCTTATTTTATTAACAGTAGAGTTTATGCAGCATTTATTGAATGTGAAAATAATATTTTAATGACAGAATATTGTTTTTAATTGTTTAATTAATTTAAAATCGTTTGATTTGAGCAAATAAATTCGAATTACTTTTAAATACAAGGTTATTTTTTCTATGGTAATTTAAATTTAATTTAACCACCTTAGCCAATCCTTGTTCATAAAACTCGGCGCTCTATTTAAATTAATTTCGAAAGTTTCTGAGACAAAATAGTTGTTTTTTAAATAAATAGATAAATAATTTTATTTAAAATAACAAAATAAGATAATTTTATTGTTTCGATTTCATCCTTAAATAATTTTTATCACACCGACACTTTTAAAGACTAAAATAGACAATGTTCAACGACGAGGTACTCTTCCTCCTCTAAAATTCAAATCAAAAATTTTTCTGCTAGTTTTTTTGTCCTAATTTCAATTTTTGCTTAGAAACTACTAAATTAGTGAATTTAATTAATGCGAGTCATTTAATAGTGATTTGATTTTTGTCACTTTTAAGAATCGCCAGCCGCTGAAGTCCCGAGATAATATGATCAGCTCATCAAACAATGGGAGCCAGCAGTCCCTATCTCAGCAACAGCTTCCAAGAAGAGAAGCGTAATTTTATTTATTTTTTTTATTCACTAATTTTTGTCAAGTTTTGTTTTAATTTATCAAATCTTAACAAATGCTTTGTTATGTAATTTCTTGTGTTGTACTTGCCATTTAATTCTACTTTATTAATGTTAAAGTAAGAAATGGTCCCTTCAACACTTTGACATTGGTCGACCTCTTGGAAAAGGAAAATTTGGCAATGTTTATTTAGCTCGTGAGAAAGACAGCTTGTATATTTGTGCCTTGAAGGTACTTTTATATGTGATTGATTAGTTGTTTGTTAAGTATTATATATATATATTCATAATCTCGTGTCAATCCCTAAATTTCTATTAGGTCCTTTTTAAGTCTCAGCTTGAGAAAAACTCTGTTGAGCATCAGCTTAGAAGAGAAATTGAAATTCAATCACATCTCAGGTTATTTTTGTGTCTTTTATGTATCTATAATTCTGTCAAAAAAACTCCATTCTTTTTATATTTTTTAAATACATTTTTTTGTTATCTAGGCACCCAAACATATTAAGACTGTTTGGCTACTTTTATGATGAAACTCGTGTCTACCTAATTCTCGAATATGCCCCCAAAGGTGAGTTGTACAAGGAGCTGAAAAGGCAGGGTTCATTTGATGACCCGACAACCGCTACTGTTAGTCTGCCCATTACTTACCAATAATTAATATTGTTTTCTTTTTTAAGTTTTTGCTCTGCTTTTAGCTAGACCAGCATCAGTTATTAAGGAATTTTTATAGATTTGGTATGTTTATTAACGTTTTTTATGTTCATTCAACTCTAAATTTTTTGCGAGCAGTACATGTCTGAGATAGCGGATGCCCTGATCTACTGCCACTCCAAAAAAGTCATCCACCGGGACATCAAACCAGAAAATCTTCTGTTGGGGTTACGGGGCGAGTTGAAGATTGCTGATTTTGGCTGGTCTGTACATGCCCCTTCGTCGAGGTTGGCACTGCTGTTTTATTTACAATTTTGTTTGTACCTCCTTTTCCACAATTACGTCATTTTTCACTTCCTATCAGGAGAGCAACCCTGTGTGGCACCCTCGATTACTTGCCTCCTGAGATGGTGGAGGGCAAGGAACACGATGAACGAGTTGACCTTTGGAGTCTTGGGGTTCTCTGCTACGAATTCCTTCACGGTTATCCGCCATTTGAGGATGAGAGGGGACAACAAGAGACCTACCAACGTATCCTTAAACTAGACTTAAAGTTTGCCCCTAAGACTTCCGCAGGGGCTCAGGACCTCATTAGAAAGGTTGGGTGTTGGTTGGCATATGACCTTTTCTTTGTTGATTTTTACATGCTCTCAGCTAATACGTGATTGTTTCTTAGTTGATTGGCATTTATTGGCATAGAAATCATGAAAATTTATATCAATATACTACTGATGATGAAAATAATTAACCACTGCAAACAATACCTCATGTCCTCTTGCTATGCTGGTGCCTCATCTTGTAGTCTCTCCTGATAAAATTCATTGATATAAGAGATGAAAATAAATGAGAGATTGTTTGCTTAATATAGCTGGTTAAAAATCCACTGATCATATTTAAATTTGATCTAGATCAATGAAGCTCATTACTTATGTTTAATTATTGTTTCTATATTTCAATTCCTACAGCTCCTTCGATATAATCCTGCTGATAGACTGCCTCTCAGGCAGGTCCTCGAACATTTCTGGATCAAGGAGAACTTCAAAGACAGACCAACTGTGAAGGAAGTGGTGGGAGCTGAGAGGACAGCTGAAGCCAGAAGGATGGGCAACCAGGCGATCGGTAGTCAGGCCTGTGGCGTTAGCAGCACCACCGATAGTGTCTGTGGTTCTGGAATGCCTAAGTGAAATATGTAAATAACTTCCCGAAGTTTCTTTTCGTTCTGGGTGTTTTGTACATAGATAAAAATGCTGATCAGCTGACGGTTTATCGCTCATTACCAGTATAGATAGCAACTCTTTTTTGTGTTTGTGTTATTTTTTAACATGTCAATATTTTCATCCACTAATTTTATAACTTGATGCCGTCAATCGCCTCAGGCTTTGCTGCACTTTGCTGCCTTTTACTTATTTTGCATATGATTAAATAGATATTCAAAGGTTTTCAAAAGTTTTAAATATTTGTAATGTTTTACTTCTTTCTTTTTTTTTTACTACAATGTCCCATTTACTTTTTAAAAATAGCATTTATAAAATGGTTTTAATCGTTCAGTTCTGTTTTCTCAACTACTTTCTCTTAACGTTCGTATTTTTAAGTTCAGTCTGCTTTTATCTTAACCTATGGCATGTGTAATCAAAAATACGTCAATATTGCAATCAAAATACCTTTGCATGTAGTACTAATTAATAAATGTTTCTGTCGGTAAATAAAAAGTTATAAAAGCAATGTTCCTTTCATTCTAGACTGACATAATTCGAGAACTAATTATTTACTTTCTAAATTTTTTAAATCGGTTAAAAATGCGTGTGTGTAGTTTTGAAAGCGGTAACGAAAGTTAGTAAGAATAAAAAGAAACGGAGAGAGAGAGAAATCATCCATCGGGTTAGTATGGGAAAGCTCTGAAAGAGAATTCCATCGTAGATTTAACGACAGATCGTGCAGTTGTGTGACTGTCGCCATTTTTCACTCTCCATTAAGTTTAATTGCTGACGGATGGATCACTCGGTCGTCTTCCATTTGCAGGACCTGGTCTCTTCTATCTGTCACATGTGCTGTGTATGCGACGTGTTTATGTGTGTGTGTGTTGTGTGTGTGTGTTGTAGTTGTGTGTGTGTGTTGTATGTGTGTTTATTTATTTTGTTTTGCCTGTTTGAAACTGGTTTTGTTTTATTTTCAGTGTTGATATTATTAAGGACCTGGCATTTTAGTAGTGCATTCACGTGATTGTGTTATGTTATGGTATAGTGTGGTATGTGTGCGTGCGTGCGTGCGTGCGTGTGCGTGTGGTTGTGTGCGTTTTCGAATTGATTGAACATCCTGAAAATTACTGCAAAGCAAACGTAAAGTTACGTAGAATAGTGCAGGGAGAATTCTTTTTTTAACCATTTAAGCAGAAGAAAAGAAAAATTTTTAAACAAATAAAAACATGAAATTGAGATAAGATGAGATGGGTGAATAAAGTGGAATTAATGAAAAAAATGCGATGCGTTAATTTTCATAGTGCTTCCTTCAGACATACTGTCACTGCAGGGCCTTGATTAGATCTTTTCTTGGCGTTCACACTGACCATTTGTTAAACCGTAGTAGAAAAAACAAACTCTTCTTCTGTTTCTTTTTTTTATTTGATTTTTTTTGTTTCTTGGTCATTTTGAAAATTGAAACATTTTGAATATTCTCATTTGTTTTGTCGTGTTGTAAATTGTTTTGTCACACACATAGATTCCTTAAATATACATGGTATTCTCTCTCTCTCTCTCTCTCTCTCTCTCTCTCTCTCTCTCTCTCTCTCTCTTTGTTCATCTATAATTAGATAAAATCATAAGTAAGAGAAATGTGAATGAATGAAATAATGAATGAATGAACGAACGAACGAACGAATGAACGAACGAAAGCACGAACGAACGAACGAATGAATGAATGAATAGTCATCTTATAAATAAATAAATAAATAATCCAGAACAACAGCAGCAGAAGCATTGAAATGAAATTTTTTTTGACAGGCCTATGTAATATTAAACAGAAAGATGACAGATTTATGCGGCGAATAAGAATGGCGCTGTGCAATCAAACATTCATCCATCTAAGTATCGAATCGTCTTTGGTTGTTTTTCGAATCGCCGGTTCGTCGGATCACATACGGTAATTACGGTTTTAACAATTTTTTAATATGGCCATCTGATGATCAATTGCTTTTGCAGAAAAAGTGAGAACGCGAGAAGAGAGAGAGAGGAAAGAGAGAAAGATAGGGAAGGGTAGAAAAGAGAGAGTACGTTTGCTGGTTTTCCGTTAGCATGTTGAGAAAGAAAGAAAAAACAGAGGAAGAAAGAAAGAAAAAATAAAAGAAACAATTAGACAAAGGAAGAGAGAGAGAGAGAGAGAGAAATAAAGACAGAGAAAGTGAGAGAGAGAGCGTGTGTGTGTGATGTCCGTTATTATGTTATTATATTATATTTACGACCGTCCAAAACATTTATTGAAAAGTCAAATGATGTTGTAAATCAACAAATCACATATTGCTCGTTATTGTCAGATAGACAGAACCTTCCTTCTCATTCTTGCAACAATAATAATGCGACAGGTAGTGATGAATCATTATTTGTCTGTCTGTCTGTCTGTCTGTCTATTTGCTTGTCTGTCCGTCTGTATGTCTATGCGTCGGTTCGTTTTTCTGCCTGTTTATTCGCTTAACAATTGAACATTAAATTTTTATAATAATAAATAATTAACTTTAATGCCATCTCATCCATAAATGAAACATATTCTGTTTATAGCACGTGTGTGTATGTTTGTTTATGTACGCGTGTGTGTGTGTGTGATTGCGTGCGTGTGCGTGCGTGTATTTAAAAATTTTGCATAGATTGACTTGAAAACTCATTCCTTAAGTAGAAAGAAGACACTAGACGTGTAGGTGGTTTGGTTGAAAAAAATTCGGATTCACAAAATTCAATGCAAGGACACCACGAAATGCGTGCAAGTCTGTAACAAAGTTAGAAGTAAAAGTAAGAAAAGGTGGGTAGCCAGAAAGAGAGAAAAAAAGAAGAAAAGAGAGAGCGAGAGAAAGAGAGAGAGAGAGGAAAAGACAAAAGAAGGGTAGAGAGAGAGAAAAGGATTGAGTTCAAAGGCATTTATATTAACTAGGTAATGGAATAAGGTGGATATTTTTGCTGTGTGCACATGCGTTCGTGACTGTCATGCAAGTATGTTTGTATGTATGTTTTTGAGACGTGTCTCACACATACAAACACGCACACGCATACACGCACACACGCACGGAAAAACAGAAAAAAGAAGAGAGAGTGAGTGAGTGAAAAAGAAGAAGAGAGTGTAAAAAGTATAATATACTTTATGAAATAGTATTGACATGGTATGTAATGACACAGAAGTATTTGTTGCATGCCAGACAGCGTAGATATTTATGTACGTATTCATCAATTTTTAAGCAACTTGCACTAATAACGCCTCTCCTAATGTAATAACGTTTTACGCTATTCCCAAGTCATAATAACACGATACGGTTCTACGCGTGCAAAAATCTGACTGTCTGTGTGTGTACATGTGTGTACGTGTGTGTGTGTGTGTGTGTGTGTGTACGTGTTTGTGTGTGTTTGTGTGCGTGTGCCCACTGTCTGGTCCGGGTATAAATACGTTTAAACAGAGCTCAAAGTCAGTACGGAAACAATGAAAGGCAGGTAATGAAAAAGTTAGAAAAAAGGAGAAAAATAAAGATGGAAAGAGAGAGAAAAAAAGAAAAAAAAGAGATAGAGAAAGAGTGAGACAGAGAGAGAGAGAGAGAGAGAGAGAGAGAGAGAGAGAGAAAGAGAGAAAGAGAGACATAACAATACAAAATAGATAAAAGTAAAACCAAAGACGTTAAAACATATAACTAGGTAGGCACTGAAAACATGACACTCATAAATAAAAATTAACGACGTCTGACAACAACGCACACACACACACACACGCACAACACACACACGCACACACACACAAACACACACTTATCACATTCTCATTAGTCTTCCGAAAAAAAGCATCATGATTAAAACAAAAAAAAAACAATTTAAAGCTAAATTACGTAACTTGTAACACGCACGTACGGCATGAAGCAAACATTGTACATCACTTGCACGTACACACAAACACGCGCAGAACTCGCTGCGAAACTTTGAAGGGAAGAATCCAACTCTATCAAACAGTATCAATTCTTTGTGGTCATTCATTCAATGCTAGGCTGCTTGATGGGTGAACATAACCAATTTTATGAGTTTACATTTCTGTCTGAATATGTCCTAGCAGGTTTAGATAGAATGAAGACAATCATAACGAAAAACAAAGAAAATTGAATTAAATAAATTAATAAAATTTAAGTAATCAAATTGCTAAAATTTAGTTACTTCTTTAACATTAATTTACAAAGAATGCAATCAGTCCGACTCTAGAAGTTATTAAGCATTTTGACATAATATAAGAATTCAAATTTTCCCTATGGTACAAGAGCACAAATTCAAATCTCTCAGAAACTATAGACTGTAGCTAAAGAATGTTAAAAGTAAAATTTAAAGATAATAAGTAGATAAACAAAATGAAGTTAAAATAATACTTCTAAAATAAACCGTTTTCGTTTTACAAACAAAAAAATGAGGTTTTATTCCAAATTTTTTCAATTTTTCAACATTTCAACCTCGATGAGGGGCACCGGTAAGCACCATCCAATCGAGCTAAAACTTTACAAGTGGCACATTTTTGTGGGGATTGTCAAGTTAAGATTTGAAAAAAAAATTTTTTGTTTGTGTGTGACAACCCCAGCATGCGCAAGAACGCAAGAGTACAACATACCTGATAAACTGGTATTTGTTTTATATGGACTTTCCGTGTTTCATGTTATTGTCTAATAACGTCCCACGTGTACGTGTGTGGGTGTGTGTGCGTGTGTGTGCGTGTGTGTGTTTCTGTGTGGTGTAATTTTGTGTGTGCGTGTGGGAGAGAGAAAGTGTGTGTGATTGTGTGTGTGTGAGTTTGTGTGTTTCTAAAAGCGGCTTCAGTAATTTAAGTAATAAAGGACAGTAATTGAAAATTATAGGCATAAATCATTTTATTATTATTATTATAGTTGTCATTTCATTGTAACATTTCAGATACTACATACAAATACTACATATGCCTGTAGACATTTTAAGTTACTTTTCTACAAATACTAACATCATTGTGCATTAGAGAGAGAGAGAGAGAGAGAGAGAGAGAGAGAGAGAGAGAGAGAGAGAGAGAGAGAGAGAAAATACGGGAGTATTGTTTAAAAGTAGTAGCCGATTATTACTATTATTATTACCATTGACATTATTATTCATTATTAAATTAGCCATTATTTTAATCTTTTAACTATTATAATAATTGATCATATTATATTTAATTGTGATTTTCATTTGAAGAAATAAAAGAGTTCTAATAATAATTATTAATAATAATAATTGTTATTATAATTACAATTATTATAATTATTATTATTTCTCACTTTTGTGATTTTATAAGAGGCTGTGATAGTTGTAATGCTGATGAAAAACTCTATCAAACCATTCAACACGATCACAAATTAAAAAAAAACGCCGGCCGACGTAACGATTACAAATTTTATTAAGTATAGCAATATCGATATAGTACAAAACTGTATTTATAACCGACAATACAATACAATCCACACATTCCGACGATTAAATACACACTCACAAACAAAAAGACATACACAAACAAACAAACAAACACAAACATATAGACAGTACAAATTACCGACAATACAATTTACCGACAATACAATACAACGGAATACAAATACACATACCGACAATACCGACCGACCGGCCGGCCGAACGATCGAGTATTAGTACGATAGGAGGACGCATAAGATTCGGACTGGCGGCCATTTATGAAAATCGGTGCAGAAGCATAAATAAGAAGGAGATTCAGAAAAAAAAAAGAAATTGCATTGTTTTGTATGGGGCCGGTCGGCTATCATTGCTAGAACACGGTTGTCTGTCTGAAAGAAGTTACTACTATTACTGCTACAACTGCTACAACTGCTGCTACTACAACTACTGCTACTACAACTACTACTACAACTACTGCTACTACAACTACTACTACAACTTCTACTACTACTACTGCTACTACTACTACTACTGCTACTACTACTACTACTACTACTACTACTACTACTGCTACTACTACTAAGTAGTGGTACGGCTGCCACTAATACGACTGCTGCTGTGTCTACTATAACTACCACTATTACTACTACTGCCACTACTGCTGCTTTTACTACTACAAATAATAATAATATCAGTGCTCTGGTAATGGAAGAAAAAGCGATGTTACGACCTGCCACGGTCTTCTGACTGTTCTTTGAGTGTTGTTATTATTGTTTGTGTTGTTGCTGTTTGTGTTGTTGATGTTATTATAATAGTTTTTCTATTATTGTTGTTTTAATTGTTGTTATTGGTATTGCTATCCTAGTGTCCTGTGTTGTTGTTGGTGGTTTTTTTAACAACACCGTAAACCACACCACTGTCACACTGCAAACACAAACAAACGAACAACAAACAAACAAACAAACAAACACGCAAACAAACAAACACACAGACAAACTAACAAACGAGCAAGCAAACACACAAACAAACAAACAACATCTTCACCGAACAAAGAAATCACACCGCTTATTCTTGCGAGAGAAATCGAAACAAAGAAAATGAACAAAAAGGCGCTACAACAAAAAAACAAATAAAAAAATGGCGGGAAACAAGAAGGAAGAAGAAGAAAAAAATTGGCGGGAAAACTACATAAAAAGAAGATGCAACTGACGGTTTTTCTTGTTCTCTGCTGTCCATCCGTCTGTCTGCTTATTTTACGCAACTTTTTCAGCCTGAATGTAAGATTTGCGTTGGGTTAATTGTTTAAGTAACAAAAGTATTAATTAATTAATTGATTGATTAGTTGATTAATTAATTGATTGATTGATTAATTTATTGATTAATTCTGTTATTTTAAGTAAAAATTTTTGTAGTAATTTTGCAAAGTTTGACATCGTCGTCTGAAGGTTAATTTTAATAATTTAATGTAATAATTTTTAAAAATAATTTAATCACACGAGTGGTTTTTAAAATATTTAGTTTGCCATACAGACAGTAATTAACGCCGTACACACACACGCACACACGCACACACACACATACACACTCACACACACACACACACACTCACACACACACACTTGCACACATACATATACGCACAAATACACACACATTTGTACACAACAATCACAACACGCACAGATTGAACCGTATTGTATGATGAGCGTCTTTGAAACCGGTCAACGCGTGACGACGACACTGTCAGATAAGACACTCTACCGTTTAGGCTACCATTTAAACCAGCTAATTTATTGTATGTCCTGAAAATAATTTTATGAGAAATTATTTATTTGTTCGTTGGTTTCGCTCACCATATTTAAATCAAAATTATATTTATTTTATTATCCATAATATAAATTACAATATTCCATAATATTTTATTTTATTATCCATAATATAAATTAATAATAACAATAGTAGTAATAAAAATGATTTATTGCATATTATAATAAGATGGATAATCACAACAAAAATTTTAAAAATGTCATTATTAAATTCTGAAATATTTTATCAATCAATTTGTTTGCTATTTGTTAAAAAAGATAACAAATATGATGATTGAACAGATGAATGAATGAATGAACGACTGAACCAACCAATAAATGAATGAACGAACGAACGAATGAACAAACGAGTGAATGAATGAATATTAAGAGATCGGAATGAAATGCTAAAAACTGACGCTATTAAAGGCGCATTTTAATTACACATCTTGAAATATTTAGTATCTTTTATTTCCGTTTCCACGACGACGCTGATGAAATTCATTGAGAAATATAAGCACGCGCAAATGGCGGATGATGGTGATGAAGAAGATGACGTAGATGATGATGATGATGATGATGACGATGACGAAGACGATGATGAAGACGATGATTATGACGATATGCGTCCAAGTTACAAGAAATGAATTGTGAAATAGAAAAAACAATGCCCTTCGATTATGATGATGATGACGACGACAATGACGTCACCATGAACAGTGCTCATGACGATGGCTAAGATGACGATCGTAATTATGAAAACAATCGCTATAACGTTGACATTGATGTTGGTGATAACGAACATACATACAAACAAACAAACATACAAACAAACATACATACATACATACATACACACACACACACAAACACACATACACACACATACACACACACATACATACATACATTCATCCAAAAAACTAATATACATCATTTCAAAATTATAAAATTATCGGCTGTGTGTGAATATATACGTTATGTGAATTTATATAGGTATACATAACATACTTAACTATAGAAATATGTATAATATACAAGATCTTATACAAAATATACAATGTATGCAAAAAGAGGAGGAGTTATGAATAGATATCAGCCAATAGCAATTGAGATAGCCATCTTCAAAGCAAAAAGAGAGCGATCATTGGTTGAAAATTGTTATTATTAATGTTTCATTTTGGCGGTATATTTAAATTATTACATATTCTAATTTATTCATCCTTATAGGATGAATAAACGAAGGAATGAATGAATTTCTAAATGAATGAATGGATGAATGAATGAAGAAATTAATTAAGAAATGAATGAACGAATGAAACGAATAAAGGAATAGGCGATCGAATGAATCTTTGAAAAAACTTAACGCAAAAATAAAAAATTCAGAAAGACTCAAGAACCCCAAAGAAACATTAGAACAAAGATATAGAAGATTTAATAAGAGCGATAATGTAAGCAGCACACTTAGGTACATAGACATTTAAACGTTCAAAATTAGATTTGTCTGTAATAATCTTGCAGCTATTTAGTCTTTTTTATTTATTTTTTTAAACACACACACTCACACACCCACACACACACACACCCACATACACAAACAAACACACACACACAAACACACATACACAACAAACAAACAAACACACAAGCAAACAAACAAACAAACAAACATACATACATACATACATACATACATACACACATACATACATACATACATACATACATACATACATACATACATACATTATTTACCTGTATAAATAAGAGGCCTCTTTCCTCGAATCAACATATTTTTCTATTTATATATTTTAAAAGAATGATGATGTTGATAATCTTACTACTTCTACTGCTACTGCTGCTACTACTACTGCTGCTACTACTACAACTACTATTAATAACAATAATAATAGTAATAATAGTAGTAATATTAACAACAACAACAACATCAACGACGACAATAATAACAACAACAACGACATTAAGAAGCAGCAATTGTTAAATGGGATATCTAACAAGGCAAACGTCAACAATTAACATCATTTGTATTACAATAACTTCAACAACAACAGCAGCAATAAAACATCAACAACAACGGCATTAACAACTACAATAACATTAACCATAACAACATTAACAACGAACACTTCATCATCAAACTCAACAACAACAACAACAGAATAAACAAAGACGAAAGAAAAAAAGCCTTAAACCCATTTTAATACCATTGAAAAAGACATTAAAAATATCAAAAAAACCAACCTTAACAACAACATCAACAATCAAATTACATCAATCAACATACA